TATTCCTGTGAATCTGTCGGTACGTTTTTGCCAAGGCCAGGGCCAGTTTCCCAATTCCCTATGCATTGCTGCTAGCTTGCCTTTCACCAGACAAGAAGGCTACCATACCATCAAATTTCAGCTCAACTGCGTGTCGGATTTCTCGACGCTTGGCGAGGCGTGGTTTGGCATCATCCTTAACAAATCCCTACGCACCAAGCTGATATCAATGCTGCTGCCCCGGCTCACGTCCATAGTGGCCGAGTGGAATTTGGACGTGTCGACCCCGCGAATTCAACACTCGATGCAAACAACATCTAGGGTGATGGCCAGGATTGCATAAAGTAGAAAAGTATAGGTCGTTGATTAATACAAATTCACAAATACCTAATGCACAATACATCTAATACATAGAGTAACGGACAAAAGTAAATCACCTCCCATTTTTGGACCTTCTAGGCCGATTTCCTGAAAATCCCTGGATGAAAAATATTTAATTGACAACTTAGTAGATGTAAAATTACATGCTGATTCCGAATTTGATACTCCGAAAGCCCGAAAATTTGATTTTTAGTCCGAAAATCACGATTTGCTTTTCACCCCAAACACGGTCAAAAACTAATTTTTTTTTTGTGTGAGGTTTTCGAGGTGCGCCATTGTGATATTCGGATCTCCAATGTCAAATTAGCCGGAATGAGTGTTTTCCGGATTTATGTTGGATGTCTAGATACCATTTCCGGAAATCGAGCAGTTAGCCTTCAACGGGCCTTTAAAAGCGCTTTTCGGCGTATTTCAATAGCGGGTCCAGAATCTACAGGGTCGATTACATCGGAAATAATGTGTTTCTAATGCTCAGAATACAAAATGATTTTTCCAGAAGCATTTGTTTAGAAAGCGCAACCGCGAAAGTCAGGTTGTGGAAAGGAGGGCCCGAAACAGGTCAAAAACGATTTTTCGCAGAGTTCTCTTGTATCACATCGGAAGCACTATTGAATGTGTAAGAAATATACGCTTAATATTTAATATAAAACAGTCGAAGTGAAAATCGCAGTTCCGGAACGGGGCGCAACCCCAGGAAATGTGCTAAAAATGCAAGGATCTTGAAAAATTCAGAAAATCACGTTAAAACTCGTTATAAACTAAATCGCAAAAAAACCAAAAAATCAAAAATGTTCAAGCCAGTAAAAATAAATCAAAATATTGAGGTACGATAGTTTTAATTTTTTTTTTAATTTTCTTTTATGCTTTATTTCCGCTTTCTCAAGCAATTGCAGTAATCGGAGTACTAAACGTCTTTGTCGGTTCCCTTCTCGTCATTTTCGAGGTCGACGCCTCGGCGCGTGACTCGAGATGGGCGTTGATTTTGGGGAAGAACATCTTCAGCAATTTCTTCCGGAGCGTCTTGTTCACTAGGATGCCGATCCACGCCTCGCTCAGGGTGGAGAAGTCGGAGACGCAGTTCAGCTGAAAATTTATCCGTATCTCTCTCTCGCTCTCACCTCCCCCCTCCCCTCCCCTCACCTCTCCTCCCTCCCTCCCTCCCCTCCTCCCTCCCTCTCTCCCTCTCACTCTCTATCTCTCTTCCCAATAACTCACCGAAAACGTCACCAGGGTCTTGCTCAACCCGAATTTGGGGATGAACAACTAAATTCTCTAGTTTTCCCATCTGATATTGGAACTACCAAATAAAACATCAACCCGATCTGCGTCGTCAGCGAGGCCAAGCAGATCAAGATCAAGTTCAACTCCATGGCTGCGCCGGTTTTTGACCTGAATTCGGTATTTTACCGTACCGTTAATGATCGTACATACCGTTCTCCCTTAAACCTGAACCAAACCAATTTCGAGAAGGTTCCAACGTTGATGACCAGCGACAGGATGGGGTACACCTGGCTGCATAGGCTAATCGTCTTCGAGACCCAGGCGATGCTCTGAAAATGGGATAAAAGTTGAATCACGCTGGGGCTGGGAAAAACAAAGAGAGTGGAGAGAGAGAGAGAGAGAGAAAGAGCGAGAGAGAGAGAGAGAAAGAGAGAGAGCGAGAGAGAGACAAACCGTGGGGACTGCGGGATCAACGACAGCATAGCCATTGGTTACAACATAAATATTCTGCACGAAAAGTGATTGATGGGCCAAACCCAAACTTAATAAGAACAACGTCGTTGAGGAAAAGATGATATTCCGCGTGGTCCAGATCTGAAGCATGGTTTTATCGCTCTTTCCATTGAAATATCTTTCTTTCTCTCCCTCCCTCTCTCTCCCTCTCTCTCTCTCGCTATATCCTTCTCCCTCTGACTTACCCGATTATAAGCAATCGGCATCCAGACGATCGTGAACCGATTCAGATGCATCTGTAGAAGAGCCAGATTCTGGCAGTGAAACGCCCCATACTGCCACCATAGCACGAAGCGCCAGGGCGGAAAGGCGCGCTCGATCCCAGGATATGGATTCGCCAATATGGAAAGCTCCCGAAGCTTTATACCGAGATAGGTGTTGAGGTAGGTGGCTAGGAACTGAACGCGTACCGTATGGAAATTTTAAGGGAGCCCAGAAGCCCTAAGGGATCAGCATGACATGGCTAGCCATGGATTCTATATAAAGTTTCCCAAAACACCCCCCCCCTCATTTTCCCCTTTTACAACCCCGGGGGGTTCCTTTTTTTGAAAAAAAAGGGTGTGTCAGGTAACAAAAAAAAAAAAAAAATTGTATATAGATTGTTTTTTTGTTATTTTTAAAAAAATATTTAAAAAAATTTTTTTTTTTTTTTTTTTTTAAATTTTTTTTTTTTTTTTTTTTTTTTTTTTATTTTTTTTTTTAAAAATATTATTTTGGTAAAAAAATTTTTTAAATTTTTGGGGGGAAGTTTTTTTAAAAATTTGTGGGAAAAAAATTTAAAAAAAAAAAATTTAAAAGAAAAAATAAAAAGGTTAAAAGGGGTGTTGGTTTAAATTTAATGGAAAAGGAGGGAGAAAAAGGAGGAAAAACTTTTGAAAAAAAGGAAAAAAAATATATAAATTATTTGGATTTGGGAAAATAAAGTATAAGAAGGGAAAAATTATTATTTTGATTTTTTAAGGTTTTTATTTTTAGATTTTGCCAGCCTAATAACCTTTTTGTCTAGTGGCTTAACGCTTTTTGCGGCGACTAGGCAAGCGAATGCCTAGCGTAGCCCGTTGGCGATCGCGCCACGTGACGCGGTGCATGCTGCGTGCGATCCGGGGATTTCGATGCCGTATGCAAACCTTCGAATATTTTCAAGGCAACTTTTAAGCGCTTCCAACAACTTACCACGATCAACACAAACAAATAGACCTTATAAAAAGAGCCAGAAATTAGGGAATCGGTCCGGATTATAGTTATAATCACCAAGACCAGTAATATTAACGAAGGTATCCCGTAGGTGATGTAGACGAGGAAGAATTCCAGCATACCCGAGAGCTAAAATGCCTCCACGGCTGACTGCCCAAAGTCTAGAAGGGAAAGTACGGTATTTTGGAGCCCGATTCCTCAATTTTTCCGAAATGAAATTGAAGATTTGACTAAAAACTATAGGTATCGCCGATTCTGGTCCCCGGGGGATCGGGGATGCGTCACAAATTCCTTCCGGGGCGCAGAAAGATTTAAAAATTGGCGACGAAAAACTACGGTAATTGGCGCGTGCTTTGGCCTAATCATGATTTGCAGTTTTTGCTAATGAAGCGTGGGACGATCGTCATCAAAAATCGGAAGCGGTGGTCTATTCATTCTCTCCCTCCCTATCTCTCTCTGTCTCTCTTTGTCTCTCTCTGTCTCCCTCTCTTTCTCTCTCTCTCGCTCACTATCTCACTGTTTTCAAGCACGCATTTCTGATGCGTTTTTGGTATATTCACGGATTTATTTTGTTTGTGTGGTCCCGATCTCGGACACGACAATCCGAATGACACGATTTGAATGGCTGGCACTTGCCGCTCTGAAAAAAATCGCTATGTACACAAAAAGAAAGATAAAATCACCTAAAAATCAACTTCAGAGTCTCCATCCGGTAGGGGTGGTAGATTAGAATAATTGATAGCGAATTCAAAACACCATGAGAGCAAAAACCCGTGAAGAGGAGGTTGTTGATACGGAAAATTACCAAGTAATTATAACTTCGAAGCAAAAACTTACATAATATCGGTTTCACATCAAAAATTACCATAATAGCCCAAAACGCCCAGGGAGCAAATATGGAGGTCAACGGAATCGGCAACTAGAAGAAAAAATAGGTGTCCTTTCTCGGTCTTTTCTCTCTCTCCTCACTCTCACTCGCTCTCTCTTTCTCTCTCTCTCTCCTAACTCACCTGTATCATCACCGTAAACAAGAAAAATTTCTGCAACTCGCGCGTCTTGTTGCTCATATGAGTTTGCTTGCTGAATAATGCAGCGAGGGAGTGCAGGAAAAATGTGAGACACTGAAAGTCTGAATCCAGATCTGATCTGATCCAGATCAGAGATGAATCGAAAACTAGATGGCGGTCGAAGAAAGTTACCCTTGTTGACCGCGGACAGGTGCTTTCTACCTTCAGAAGACTTCAGAAATATTCGGTTCGGTGCGTGGGTTTTGCCGACCAAAGGACATGACATTTTTGTGGTTTGACCAGTGGAGCAGCCAAGGCGTACTAGCAGCGTTTTTCGCGGCTTTAAGGTCAAAAAAAATGGTTTTTTGGGGTATCTCGGAGGTTTTCGATGTGATTTAGCCAATTCGATAGAACTTAAAATTTTCAACAAATCATTAACTTAAAAAAACTGCTGTTCCATCAGGGTAAGCTGTGCCATGCCAAGGCTTAAGCCGAAGCGATGCCCAAGTCGAAGCCCAAGAATATGTACAAGCCGAAGGCTAAGCCTATACCCAAGCCAAAGGCTAAGCCTCTGTACACGCCGAAGGCTAAGCCTATGTACAATCCGAAGGATAAGCCGAAGCCTAAGCCCAATCCCAAGCCTAACCAAAAAGCCAACCACAATTCTAACAAAACTCCGGAAAACAAAAAGATATGCAACGTTTATTTTATCGTCTGCGTGGTTCCAATATCAGACACAAGCACGAAAGTCACTTTGTTTTTCCGCGACAGGCATCTTATCCTAAAAAAAGACTGCTGCTTCGGAGTATACGGAATTTATACCTAAATATCAGCTTCAGCGCCTCGGTACGGTAAGGACGATAAATCAACATTAGCGTCAAGGAATTCAGAACGCCGTGCGAGCAGAAACCCGTAAAAAGCAGATTATTCAGCACTGAAATTTTGTAGAAGCACATAATTAAGATTGAAAAATTACAGATAATTGGCTGAATATCAAACGCTATTAATCCGGCCCAGACGGCCCACGGAGCAAATAGGGAAGTGAACGGAATGATCATCTAAAAACTCGTAGTTTTAAGGGCTAGGAAGTGCAGGGACCAACGCTTTTTCTGACTAGGTATAGACTATACCTGAACCATCACTGTAAATAGGAAAATTCGTTGCAAGAGCCGGGTTTTGTTACTCATATGCGATTGCTCGCTGAATAATATCGCCAGAGAGTGCAAGAAGAAGATCAGGCACTAAACGAGGTAACGTTGGCATGCTCTTTAAGGTTTTAAGATTGTCACATTTCAAAAGCTGAACTGAATTTCAAACTTACCATCGTAATATTGATCAGACAGACCGCGAAAATACAGTACATCGTCACCATTTCAGTACCGTCGAGAGAAGCAGCATATAGGAAATCAACATCTCCAATAGCGGAAAGACAGGGATTTTCCTAAATTTCTGCATATGGTGATTTGAAAACTACCTACATTGTCCTAAAAATATTTTTAACCGCTCGATATACCTTTATTAAATACTGAAACGCTTTTGAATAGAACCCAGGCTGCAGGTTGAGCTGGAAAGTCCCGTAGCCAAGCAGAGATACCACGCAAAAATTATGCAAACCGACGAGTCCGAGCCACACCTCGCGACGGAATCTAAATACGGTACTAGGGAGATTTTGATCGTATACTTGAGGCGTTTGTTAATGATAATATTTTGTTATTTAGCATTTTTAATGCATATAACCTTGTTAATTGCAAGGTACCGCTACCTCCAAGGGCTCTTCGGCGGCATTATCGTTTGGTGTTTGTAGAATAGGATTTGTATCACGGAGTCCAGCACGATCCCAATGCCGCAAGCTCCGAAAATCTGGAAGGCTTGTGCTTTTGCTTGCAGGTATCACATTACGACACCCATTTATATACCTTAAAACTTACAAATCCCCATCGTCCGCCAAGCCCGAATACCGTATCCCAAGGCCCAAGAAGTCTAGCACCGGGAGCCGGGAAATAGACTTCAGGTACGAAGCTTAGGATTACCGCTTCATACAGGATAGAAATTGTCTATAAAGACAGTGTAAATATTGTAAAATCATTAAATCGATACCAATCACATGGCTAGAAATATATTAAAGAGTTTTTGAAGGTATTGAGGGTATTAGGAAGATTTCCTAACAATCGTCTTTCCTTTTTGGTTTTTAAGAGCGTTTTTGTCCGTTCCGCCATGCTACTATTGGATCAGAAATCCTACTATATATAAAAAAATAGTGTTTGTGTGTGTGTGTATATTTGCATGCAACTTCCGTGAGTATGTACCGCACCTACAGCCTCAGGGGAAGGTTTTTAAGGGTCGTATGATACGTCATTAGGTGCTTAATGGCGCCGAGATGAGTGCACACACATAAAAGTATTGAAAAATTACTGCTGTCGCGATTAAACCTGAGTTTTTGTAAAGTTTTCGAAAAACCTCTTTGTTAGGGGCAATTAGCATGCACCGGAAGCTGGAAGAACCTATGTAAAGGGCCAGAGGAGCCGTTTTCACTTTTTTCTTGCTTGAATTCAGGAAGAAACATGCAAATTGAGGACTTTCACACGTCCTAGACGGGGCCAGGGTTGAAAAGCCGCGAAGCGGTTTTTCAACCCTGGTGTGTCTGCTATTTTCGATAAGTTAAATTAGCTCCAACTTACCTGCGAATAGGAAAGATACGGCCTCAATCCTTTCATGTGAGGCGGGGGCCGTTTTGACGATCAGCCAAAGTGCAAAGAAACCTAGAGGATAGCTTAAAAGAGGTAGGAATTTTGTGTAGTAATCATAGAAATAAGGGTAATAGTAGTAGCACCCGGTTGTCAACGGATTCGCCATAATATGAAGGTCGAGGTAAAGAGGACGAGAAATTTAGGCGGCGGGGTGCAGACAGGTGATTTTCCGATTGCAAAAAAATTAGGAAGGCACAACGTTCTGAATTCTGAATAAGCAGGCAACAGCACGACTTCTTTGACAGAAATATTGGAAGTAATAACAGACAGGCTAGCCGAGAATCCGGGGGAATTTGCGAGCTGATAGAGCAACGCTCTCTCTCTCTCATTCACTCTCTCATCCGCTCTTTCGTTCTCTCTCTCTCTCGCTCTCGCTCTCTCTCTCCCTCTCTATCCCGCTCGGCCTTTTGCGGCGATCCAAAAATAGACAATAGAAGGGCAAGCCAGCAGTTTTTCTTGAGGAACACCAGTATAATTTACTTATATATTCTTTATATTTTTTCACTCATAATTCCTAATCTACATATTAATGAAATACATACAGCCCTCCTATCCCATTTCGACTGAAAGTCGAGCCACTTTCAGTCGATTTTACCCCCGTCTTGAAGCCCCAAAGTCGACTTCGACTTCAACGACGACTCAACGACTTCAAGCAGTTCATCCCGACGATGCCGTGGCAACCGGTGAAGTATGGAGGAGGTATTCCGGCCGATGGAAAAGCCGGGGACACGCCGGTGAACACGCTGGAGATGGAGTCGGCCCCATTCCAAACCCCCGTCCACACCGCTGAGTATCCGACGACCGAGGATGAGGGAGGTGAGAGAGAAAGTGTGAGAGAGAGATAAGCTACTACTTGCAGAACCCAAACCACCACCATCCCCACCGAAGAACATTGACGACTTCATGCGCTTCGGGCGGCACTCGTTTTTGTTTGGGCTGATGTTGGAGGTAGCGAGAGAGAGAGAGAGAGAGAGAGAGGGAGAGAGAGAGAGTGAGAGAGAGATGAGACAGAGAACGGGAGAGTGAGAACGAGGGAAAGCATTTTTTCAGCTAGTAATGATCTCCGACTGTGGCAATTTGCTGTTCATGATTTTTGGAGGTATATTAACGTTTTATTAAGTTTATTAATTCGGATTTTAAGGAGCCGTCCCAAAAATCACCGGCTGCACGGATATTGGCCACAATATCACGGCGAACTGGAGTCCAGCCGATTTTTGCGAGGCTTACCACGGTAGTTTTCTCTCTCTTTCTTTTTCTCTCTCTCTCACTCTCTCTCTTTCTCGTTTTTTCTCGCTGTGTCTCCCGTGCGCCGACAAAGATTTTCTTTGAGGCCGAAAACCGAATACCCCCAGCTGCAACCCGATCATCGAGCCGGAATTCACCTCGATCAACGTCGAGGTACTGTAGAATCCACAGAACTCCAAAAGTTCCCTATTTACAGTTCGGTCTACTTTGTGATGATGCTAACGGGATCAAGGAGAGCACATCAGTTCAGGTGAGAGAGGGAGAAAGAGAGAGAGAGAGAGAGAGAGAGAGAGAAAGCGAGCGAGAGAGAGCAAGAGAAAGCGAGCGAGAGACTCCTTGTTCAGATGATCGGCTACGTGGTCGGCTCGCTGTTCTGGGGCCAATTCTCGGACATGTTTGGCAGAAAAATGACCATGATGGTGACCTTGATCGCAAATGGGATCCTCGGCAGCATCTCCGGTTTTGTGCCCGACTTGACGACGTTCACGATTCTGCGCATCTTCATCAGCCTCTTCTTCACCGGACACTTGGTGTAAGCCAATGGAGTTAGAGAGATATAGAGCGAGAGAGAGAGAGAGAGAGAGAGAGAGAGAGATGAGCGAGCAAGAGAAATTACCTTTTCAGCATTGACATGGTCTATTTTTGCGAGACAATCCCGACAAAGCATCGTCTCTGGTTGGCCTTCGTCCTCAATTGGTCCCCAAATTTCATCGTCGTTGCGGTAATAGGTAATTTTCGGAATTCCTTTAGTTTTAAAGGGATAGATATATAGGATAGGATAGTGACCGGGATCGGTAGAAATCTGGTATCACTACCTCTTTCAACTCAACTTTTTAGCATGGCTATGCGGGGATTGGCGCGTCTTTTCCGTGGCGCTGAACGTCATCTGCTTTGCGGCTGCCGGGTTGATGTGGTCAGTAGAATTTTCTATTTTCTTTCGTAGGCCTTTGGAAATTAAATTTATATTTTAGTTTCTGCGCCGAACCCCCACACTGGCTCCTTCGACAAGGGAAAATTGATGAGGCTCGAAAAGTGGTGAAGTACATCTACAAGGTAGGAAGTTTCTACTTATACCTGATTACTGATCCAACTGCTCCAAATTAACTATTCTTAACTGTTTTTCATAAAAAAAAAAAAAAAAAAAAAAAAAAACCCAAAAAAAAAACCCAAAAAAGAAAAAAAAAAAAAAAACATTTTTCTTGCTGACACCATCCCTTTAAAGTAAACTTTCCGAAAATCGATTTTTGAAATATGCTCCCTTTTATATTTTAGTTCGACGGCGCCGAGCTCGACGAGGAGTCCCTTGAGCAGATGCTGGTGTGGGAGCAGCGGAAGCTAGAGGTATCGTTTCGTAATTTTGGGGTTACTGAGGTACTTTAAAGGGACACAGACACCACAAGCCCATTTTTTCAGCTTCTCCCAAAAGAGCGCTTCTGGTTCCCGCACCTCTTCTGCACCTGGAAGTTGTGCGGCTACACGGCGGCCGTGTTTTTGAGCTAGTGGGATTTTTTAGGCAGTTCAATGTTGTAAGGGCAAGCCAGCAGGGATCTTTTAGGAAAATTAATTTGTTTGATCTCGAGTTTGGACGTGTAGAAGTTTTTTTTCAGCTTTCAAGCCTCGTTCGTCCAGTACGCGCTGCTGTTCAACATGGAAGACATAGGAGGATCGGTAAGGAAATATAGAGAGAAGGAGAGCGAGAGAGAGAAAGAGGCAGAGAGAGAGATAGAGAGAGAGAGAGAGAGAGATGGAATACTTTTCGCTTTTTTCAGATTTTCGTGAACACAATGGTGATGGGCGTGCTTCGCGTCGTCATCAACCTCTTCTCGGCGGCCGGAGAAATCTTCTTGCCCTGGCTCGGGCGAAAGGTGTCTTAATCTGCTACGTCCCTTTAAAAATTTTTGAATTTTAGAAGGCCCACAAATTTTTCTGCCTGTACAGCGGCGTCACGCTGGTCATCGCGCTTGGGGCTGAGATTTTTGGTGAGCGAGAAAGAGAGAGAGAGAGAGAGAGAGAGAGAGAGAGTGACTGATCGGATTTTCTAGGCGCTTCCGGCAACTGGTCGAACG